ATAGAGATACTACCCTGCACTGTATTTGACCATAATGGAATGAAATTAGAAATCAATGCTAAAATAAAATAAAATAAAATAAATAGAAGCTACAGGAAATAACTAAAATCAGGAAGAAATCAATGGAATTGAAACTGAAATTGAAGAAGCAATTCAAAAAAATTGACAAAACAAAAAGCTGGTTCTTTGAAAAAAATAAATAAAATTGACAAACACTTAGCTACCCCAATGAAAAGAAGGGGAAAGAAAACTCAAATCACTAAAATTCAGGATGAAAAAGGAAAAACAGACACTACTGAAATATAAAAGACAATTAGAAACTATTGTGAAAACATATAATCCAGCAAAATAAAAAACCTTAAGACACTGAGACACTGACAAATTTCTAGAGGCATATGATCAACCCAAACTGAATCAAGAGGACATACACAATTTAAACACATCAATCTCAAGCAAGGAAATAGGAGATGCAATCACAAGTCTACTAACCAAGAAAAGCCCAGGACCAGACATTTTACAGCTGAGCTCTATAAGACCTACAAAGAAGAACTAATACCAGTACTTCTCGAATTATTCTATGAAATAGAAAAGGAGGGAACCCTTCCAAACCAATTCTATGAAGCTAATATCATCCTGATACCAAAACCAGGCAGAGACATATCAAGGAATGAAAATTTTGGACCAATATCCCTGGTGAATACTGATGCAAAAATTCTCATTAAAAATCTGGCAAATCACATACAAAAACATATTTTTAAAAAATAGTGCACCATGATTAAATGGGGTTCATTCCAGGGATTTAAGATTGGTTCAACATATGGAAATCAATAAACATAATTTATCACATCAATAAACTTAAAGGATCATGTCATTATATCAATTGATATAATCATATGACAAAATATGAGAGAAATCATTTGACAAAATACAGCATGTTCAAAACACTAGAATAACTAGGGATAGTAGTAACATACCTCAACATTGTAAAACGATCTATGCTAAACCCAAGGCCAACATCATTCTAAGTGGACAACAATTGGAAGCATTCCCTCTAAAAACTGGAACAAGACAGGGATGCCTTCTTTCACCACTTCTATTCAACACAGTACTTGAAATTCTAGCCTGTCTAGAGCAATTAGAGAAAAGAAATTAAAGGGATACAAACAGGAAAAGAAGAACTCAAACTATCATTATTTAATGATGACATGATTCTATACTTAGAGTATCCAAAAAACTCCACCAGAAAACTTCCTGAATTAATAAATGAATTCAGCAAAGTAGCAGGGTATAAAATCAATACCCATAAATCAAATGCATTTCTATATACCAGTGATGAATCCTCTGAAAGAGAAATTAAGAAAACGACTCCATTCACAATAGCCTTAAAAAACAACAACAAAAAAAAAAAACATGGGAATCAACAGAAGAGGTGAAAGATCTCTACAATCAAAACTACAGAACATTATAGAAAGAAATTGAAGAAGACCTTAGAAGATGGAAAGATCTCCTATGCTCTTGGATAGGCAAAATTAATATTGTCAAAATGGCCATACTACCCAAAGCACTATACAGATTCAATGTGATTCCAATTAAAATCCCAACATCATTCCTTATAGAAATAGAAAAAGTAATCATGAAATTCACTTGGAAAAATAAGAGACCCAGAATAGCCAAAGAAATCCTTAACAAGAAGAGGGAAGCAGGAGGCATTACAATACCATACTACAAAGCTACATTAATAAAAATGGCATGGTAGTGGCACCAAAATAGACAAGTAGACCAATGGTACAGAATAGAAGACACAGAGACAAAACCACATAAACAAAGTTATCTCACACTAGACAAAGGAGCTGAAAACATACAGTGGAGAAAAGAAAGCTTCTTCAACAAATGGTGCTGGGAGAACTGGAAATCCATTTGCAGCAAAATAAAACTAAACCCCTATCTCTCTCACCATGCACAAAACTCAACTCAAAGTGGATCAAGGACCTAAGAATTAGATCAGAAACCCTGTGCCTAATAGAGGAAAAAGTAGGTCTAAATCTTCATCATGTCAGATTAGACTCTGACTTCCTTAACAAGACTCTTAAGTGTAAGAAATAAAAATAAGAATCAATAAATGGTATGGATTCAAATTAAAAAGCTTCTTCTCAGCAAAAGAAACAATCAATGAGGTAAACAGAGAGTCTATATTTTAGGTGCAAATTTTTGCCACAGGCACATCAGATAGAGCACTCCAGTATAAAGAACTCAAAAAACTTAACACCACAAAAACAAACATTCCAATCAATAAATAGGCTAAGGAGCTGAACAGAAACTTTTTGGAAGATATACAATTGACCAACAAATAAATGAAAAAATGTTCAAATTACTCTAATATTTCATCTCATGCTAGTCAGAATGGAAGTTATCAAGAATATAAGCAAAAATAAATGTTAGTGAGGATGTGGGGGAGAAGGCACACTCATATATTGCTGGTGGGACTGCAAATTGGTGCAACCAATCTGGAAAGGAGTATGGAAATTCCTTAGAAAACTTGGAATGGAATCACTATTTGACCTAGCTCTCCCACCCCTTAGTTCACACCCAAAGGACTCAAAATCAGCATTCTATAGTAACATAGTCACATCAATTTTATAGCAGCTCAATTCACAGTAGCTAAATTGTGGAAGAAACCTAGATGTCCTTCAACAGATGAATGGATAAAGAAACTGCCGCAGTCTGGCTGGGCACAAAATCACGAGCCACCACACAGCTTGTAGATTCAAACAGCAACTCTTTATTCCGGAACTCACACCAGCCGTCTACAATCACGTTCTGGGGAAATCCACGTTCTCTGCCCAAATCCACGTTCTCTGCCCAAATCCACCCCAACTCGGCTTCTGTCTCCCAAAAAATACTGTCTGAATCCCGTGAGAACTCAAGGGGAACTCAGGCAGCAGGATACGCCCTATTCCCAGCAGGAATAACCTTAAACCTTAAACCTGGAACCTAAACCGGGAACGCCCTAAACCTGGATTATAAACCGGGAACACCCTAAACCCGGATCCGCCCTGGTCCTTGAGCAAGGTCACCTACATGCAATGTCACTGCAAAATGTCCTATTTCCACGAGTCCTTCCACTAAGCAACATGGGGTACGCTGGCAAGGAAATTGTCATACCTACTTGGCTAATGGCTCCCAGCAAGAAACTATGGTGTATAATATATACAATGGAATATTACACAGCATTAAAAGAGAATAAAATTATGGTATTTGCAGGTAAATAGATGGAGTTGGGGAATATCATGCTGAGGGAATAAGCCAATCCCCCCAAACCAAAAGCTGAACGTTCTCTCTGATAAGTGGATGCTGATTCATAATGGCGGGGATGGGGGGCGGGGGAATGGGACAAAAGGAGGAACTTTGATTGGGCAAAGTGGAGGGAGAGAAGGAGAGTGGGTGTGAGGGCAGGAAAGATGGTAGAATGTGATGGACATTATTATCCTAGGAACTTGTATGACTGCACATATGGTATGATGCTACATGGTGTACAATCAGAGAAATGAAAAGTTGTGCTGCAATTGTGTACAATGAATCAAAATGCATGCTGCTGTTATATACACATAATCAGAATAGATTTATAAAAAAGATACGAAAGTTCCTGTTTTAAATCACTAATAAGTGTTCAGTTAAAATTAAAATTATTTATAAATGATTATATCTTAAATATACCAAAACCATGCTAAAATATTCTTTTTAAATTTTTAATTAATTTATTTTGGTACTAGGGGTACTTAACCACTGAGCCATTGCCCCATTTTTTGAATTTTTTTTTTTTTAATTTTTTATTGTTGGCTGTTCAAAACATTACATAGTTCTTGATATATCATATTTCACAATTTGATTCAAGTGGGTTATGAGCTCCCATTTTTACCCCATATACAGATTGCAGAATCACATCAGTTACACATCCATTGATTTACATATTGCCATACTAGTGTCTGTTGTATTCTGCTGCCTTTCCTATCCTCTACTATCCCCCCTCCCCTCCCCTCCCCTCCCCTCTTCTCTCTCTGCCCCCTCTACTCACATTCGTTTGTCCCCCTTGTATTATTTTTCCCCTTCCCCTCACTTCCTCTTGTATGTACTTTTGTATAACTCTGAGGGTCTCCTTCCATTTCCACGCATTTTCCCTTCTCTCTCCCTTTCCCTCCCACCTCTCATCCCTGTTTAATGTTAATCTTCTTCTCATGCTCTTCGACCCTACTCCATTTTTTGAATTTTGAGACAGGGTCTTGCCAAATTGCTTAGGACCTTGCTAAGTAGCTGAGGCTGGCTTTGAATTTGTAATCTTCTTGCCTCAGTTTCCCAAGATGTTGGGATTATAAGCAAATACCACCATGCCCGGCTAAAATATTATAAGTGCTTTTGGTGTTATTGAGAACTTACCATGAAGTAAATGGAAATAAAGGTGGTTGGCCTGTATGAGAATAAGCATTTTTCAAGTTTAACTGGTAAAAACTGATATGTGGATGCCACTGAGACTTTCATGTAGTTATAAGACTGTAGGGTAATGCATGCAACAGCATGTGTGTTTCTATTCATTAGTAAAGAAAGACCATGTTCAGCAGGCCTCGTGGGACTGTGCTGACCACCGGAATAGATGGTATTTGTATAAATTTTCCTGATATCACCCACCCTGTTGACTAAAGCAACACAAAGTCTAAAAGTTCCAATCACTCACCAACAAGTTTTCTGTAGAGTCTTTTCAGGGAAAGAACTGAGTTTTGCTGATGGGCAAAGTTGCTTCTACTTATTAGTGATGAAACTGTCCAAGATTCCCCCCCCCAAAAAAACTTCAAGTCAACTGGTAATCCCAAAAGATGCAGAATGGAATTGCCACAGGCTATGTGGTTTACATCTCCAGTGTTGACGGTTCAGTGAGGACAGCACCAAAAGTGTAAGGGAAGTATGAATCTCTTGGAAACATAATCCCCATAAAATAAACCTACCCCAAAGACCTTTGAAATCAGCTTTATTTGTTTGCAAGGATACAATCTACTTAGTTACATAATATTTTGTTCGTTCTCATTTGAAGTCTCAGAGCTGTCATAGTAAACACTGTCTTCACTACCAAACTGCTATAATAAGAACATTATAAAATACTATAAACTAAGATAATTGTCTTTACAGTATTCAGATTAGTGCATTAAAACAACATTGATTAGAAAAGGCAAGTGAGTTAACTGGCAAACATCCAATTCCTTTTCTGATGAATAATGGTATAAAATGGAATTCAACATAAACAATAAATTTTAAGTTTTAGGTGATCAAAAACAACAACGGTGGGAAGTTACTTCCTAAAAGTAATTTTGACCCTAAAATACATATATAACCCTTATTCTATAGGATACAAGGAAAGGAGATAATTACCCACAAAACCAGACAGCATTAAGAAAGCTGAGTGGAATAACAAGTAGGAATCTTTAAAACAAATCAGAATAGATATTAGTAAGGATTTTCCATACCTTTCCTCCAAATTATGTCAGACATTTAGAGTAATTACACTTTCCCTAGTAGACATCAGACTTAAATAGACAGGATGCGAAAACAATATCCTCAGTATTTTCACTAGGCAATCTACAGCAAATGCTTAATATATACACATCAGGTACATGAGAGATTCAAGGACATTATTCATTGATTTTATTCACAGAAACCAAGGGTCTTAAAAGAAATCCAACAATAACAATGAAATCGAGAAATTGTGCTGTTGTGAACTAGAAAAACAATCCCATAAAATGATAGGTTAATTATGTAAATTCTCCAGAATTATTTCCTCTGCTGGCCCAAATCAAAATTAAATTTGAGATTTTTTAAATCAAAATATCATAAATCAAGTGCATTTTATACAGTGACAGATATGAACAGAGCACATATACCATTAAATGTACTAATTTTAAAACTGAGTCAAATAGAGTAAATAAATTATAAATGCAAGGCATATACAATGTGGGCAGAAAACTAACAATTACTAAATCAAAAAGTATGGAAGTTTCACCAGCAATATTTAGAAAAAGTTTCAGTATTAGAAAATATCAGATTTAATCCAAAGGAGCCCCCTGCCAATAAAAATAAGTATGAGAACCATCCTTAATGCAAGAACTGTAAAATAATAATAAAAACATGATTACAGGATCTTCCTACATAATTTAGACAATGTAGTGCAATGGTGTGTTCCTTTTTAATTTTAGCTTGTCAATCTCCATATGATGACACCAATAATCAAAGCTCCAATGACAAGGATAAAAATGATGATGCACAGGGTTTTTCTGGATTTGCGCTGCAGGTGCAAAAACAAAAAACATGTTTACAGATTCAGTGGGGTGTCTCTATGGCAACTGAAGATAATTTGGTTCATTTCAAGAGTAAAATCAATAACAGTTTATTGACCTCAAATTTCTGGCTGTGTTTTGTTTCTCAAAAATCTCTACAACACATATGGTACTATTATTTCAAAAAATATTCTTGAATTAATGCTACAAGTCAGGGAGAAATTTTTAAATGTCAGTTATTTTTTCTGGGCACGTGGTTGAGCTTAAAAAAGATACAGAGTTAAGAGATAACAGGTTACCTATAAATTAAAACAAAGAACAGCTTAAAAGCTTATACATTTTTTAAAAAATTATATCAAATAGCTGCTCTAAAATATGAGTTCTCTGAAAATATCAATCAGCAAGCATAAATGTTTGGCAATTTTTCCTATAGTAAATTTATTAGTTTGCAAAATTGTTCCCATTCTTTAATATTAATGGAAATTATATTCCAAATCTCAACACACAAATAAAACACTGAAGATCTAACAAAATTATAAGTTGTCATTCAAAATACAGAAGTTAAGAATTTTGTTACATTCTTCGTTCCTGGCTCTGCTGTAGATTTCTGTATTTCTTTAATGGCTGTGCATCTCACACCAACGTGCAGGAATCCTTTTTCTTACAAAGTAGGAAAATTTATAAATGTACTTTGTGTCAATTAGCAGTACTATAACATTTACAAAACAATACATGTCAGACTCTGAAATTACCCTGACAAATATAAATTCTTTAAGTATTTCACATATTAAATATTCAACTGTGCCTTCTTCATATATTAAACACAATTTTCTGAAGTTTTGATATCAATCAGGCATAAATATTTCTCCCAGACTCTACTTGGTTACAGACCCATGTATCACCTCGTCTCAGTCATGGTTCATTTGGTGCCCAGAGGTACTTCCCCTAATGTTGGGGAATGAAGTCCTTGGGTGATAAAGAGCATTTATCAACTTTCTTTATGCTCACAGTTCTATGTTTATGCTTCTAGCCAACCATTTAGAAGCACCAAGGTTTGCAGGGCATAAGTTTAATACCAGGCTTCCAAGTGGAATGATAGGAAAGCTAGCTCCTTTCTCAACACCTGGGCGGTCTAGCCAAGTGTCACCCCTTTGAGGCCTGTGGGAATGAAGCCTGGAGGCAGCTCTCAGAGTTGGAGTGCAGCCTGGGAAGACATGTGCCTTTCCCCCAGGGTGCATGTAGGCTTGACCTTCCACAAGGAAGAGGGAAAGTAAGGAGGAAAAATCCAAAAGCAAAACAAAACAACATAAATCTAGTCACTGATGAATCCTGTTATACACTGTTTCAGCAGTTATGCACTAACAGCTCCAAAAGACCCCTGGTATTTACAGATTACCCTGTGTTTATGTGATTCAACTATTCATGAGGGACATCTAAAGTCCACATCAGGAGATGCTGCTAAGCTGCAGATCTGAATTATACACACAATGGTAAATCGGAGACACTGACAGCAAATATGATGGGCTATCACTATTTTCCTCAGCAATCTACATACAGCTTCACTGTTCTTTCCATGTCACTTATGCAGTGATTTGTCCTGTGTAAAAATGGCAGTGACATGAAAGGCAACTGCTAAGTGAGAAAGGTTTAAAACAATGGAAAATGTCTAAGAAGTTGAAAATATCTTAGGTATTTTATAAGAAAGTAACAAGATCTGAGAAAAATGATAATTATCATGACAAGAAAAAAAACTGGGCTCTAAAAGAGAAAACAAATGCTATTGTGCTATTTAGGGGTTGCCCCAATCCTGGCATTATACTTATTAAATATCAAAAGTTTAAGTATAATATGATACATTATTAGTTCATGGTCCTAATATTTGTATAGATGACACAACTTGTATTTGACACATAAATATGGATTCTGATTCAATAAAGAAATACATTCATTCCTGGAGAAGGGCAGAATGTGGATAATATCTAATGATTAATAACACTCCAAGCTAATAAAATTATTATTAGGGTCAGAAGCAACCTTTCTAAGACAAGCATCTCCACCATTAACCCAAATTGCCACTGACAACAAGAAAGAAAAGATAAAAGGGAAGAGTGAGAAATGGAGGGTTCTGGGTTGAAATGTCACAATGATCTCAGAGACGACCACTAGAAAGCTTGGAGCTGTCTACTGCCACAATCAGAACTCTTAACACTAAACTTTTAACACTACCCTTGGAGATCACAGTACCTCTGGTTCAACCCTGAGCATATCCAGGTGAAAACCAATTTTAAACTGCCTGGCATATTTCTAGCTTCATGAGATTTAAAATTTTAAATCCATGAGATTTAAAAATTAACATCTATAGTCACTTTAAACATGACTGATCTCTGTGTGTGTGATTCTCATATCTCATATTTTCTCTCTCTCTCTCTCTCTCTCTCTCTCTCTCTCTCTCTCTCTCTCTCCATTTCAAGTTATTAGAAAATCTATCACAGTTAACATTACCTGATAATTTGCTGCCCTTGACAGCTGCTGGTTCGCCTGCTGAACGTGTACCTCTGCACTTTCTACGTTGGCTTCTATGCTATCTTTAAAATAAAACACACACACACACACACACACATAAAACTGTTAAAAACATACTGATGCTCCATTTTCATTCAAAATATGAATACATATGCTTATTCTTCAAAGGTGAATATTAGTTTATCACAAAGTTGAACTTTTTAAGTTGGCTATAATTCTTTCCTATATTATTTCTGTTAGTCCAAGCAATACAAAAAAATTTGAACAAAAGAACCCTGATTGCCCTCATTTTAATACAACTCCAGTTCTAACTGGAAGGACCCCCAAAGAACTATCACCCTGACCTTATCAAATCAGTGTCAGTAAAAAGGGCTTGTCTCAGTCTCAAGCTCCAATGCTTGTTCTATCTCAAGACCAGTATGCAAAGCGGGAGATCAAACCTCTTCTTCTTACTACCAAAGATTTTCATCACTTGGGGAAAAAGATAGTACCTTGACTTTCCAAAGAATATCATTTCCTTATAGAGCAACAACAACAACAAAAACAACCCAAATGCTAAAGTCTGGTCCCTAATATACATATATTTAGTTATCAAATTATCATGTTAGTCCTTAATGTTTTTCAGTTTCTTATCCCCTTATCTTTGTAAACCCAATCTACTTTAAAATTTGAAATCTACTTTCAGAGATTGAAAACTGTCATTTGCTCTGTAGCCATAATCAGCCCACCTCTGTGCTGATTCCAGAGGTCCCATCTCCCTATCCTACCCTTACTTTCCCCATACTGCTTATCACCATTTACTTACTTTGCTTTTATTTTTTTTTTAAACTGTCTCTTTCCCCCAAACATAAGAACCATAATGGCAGGGCTTTTTATCTGCTGTTTAATTTCAGTTGAATACTAAAGGCCTAAATTTGTGCCTGGACATACGGCTCAATAAACATTCATTGGATGAATGACTAAATTGTTTTTTTTTTTTTAATGTTATCCTGTGATTACAGAGGAGAGTAAGAATGAACAAATAATATTTATATTAAACTAATGGTGCAGTATTTCAATTGAACCAAATCCAGGAAAACATTAAATATATCTTTATACATAGGCACCATATTTCAAAATGTAAAAATTATCAGGATCCTGGATCAATGCTGATAATTACAACTTAAGTGAAGAAGTATTATATCTAAACTTACAAGTAATTTTGGTAACTTAAAAATGATTCTTTAAAAAAAAAATCCTGGTATATAAATAATCTACTGAAATGAATATACCAAAAGCTATTAGCATGAATGATCAGGCAAATGGCTGCCTATTCTCTATAGGCCAGAAGACAAGACAGCATGCACAATTACAAATGCCCTAAGTAGCCCTAAAGTTCCAAAGCATGATAAGAATTAACTTGAGATAAGTCTGAAAAGAGAGGCCTTGGAAATAAACTGGAATGATGTTACATGGTGCCTTCTATGGTCTCAGAAGCAGTAAGCCCTGATTAATTTGGGGCTTCTGAAATAAATGAAGATGATCATTTCAACTACGATCACAACAAGAGGTCTGTTTTGGATGAGGTCAAGGGTGACACTTTGTTGTAGAGGTTATGCTTTTGATTCCAGGGAACCCACGGAGAAAAAAAAATGTAAGCAGTTTTCTTTTGTGGAGAAAGTTACTACAGGTAAATTACATGTAACTTACTTACACCCACCCCATTATGTCTGCAAGAATAGGGCTTACCTATCACGTCTCCCTGTTCATGAATCATCATTCCCAAATCTTTAAATATTTCATTAATATCCATAATATCAGCCTAAGATAAAAAGACATATATAATTATGTAATATATGAAATTTAGCTACCAATCTATAAAGGGAAGATTTTTTTAAAATATACAAACCAATATTCAAACATAGGCAATAATGCACTTAGATTTAACATCAGGAAACATTGTACTGCAAGCAATCTCAACTAAAAAGACTGAACAACAGCTACTATGTCTCTAAAATAAGGTTATAACATTAAAAATATGAAGTGAGGCAGGATGGAAATGAAGGATCTATAATAAAAGAAAGGCTGTGGATTTCAAAATACATTTTATGCAATCTGATATTTTTATTATCAAAGCAGTACCTGCTTTGAAGAGTAAATATTCTTATGATATATTTTTAGCAAAAATATATACCAATTAGACAATTTAAAAGAATAAAACTTTAAATTTATAATATAAATTTAAAGCCTCACATTAATAAATTTAAATATGCAATGGATTAGTCAAGTTATAAATTTCACTTACAGGATAAAGAAGTAAATTTATTAGAAAATAAAGTTAGAAATTTACTTATCTTCAATATATAACTATCAGTTTGCTTAATTTAGGAGTAAAGTTTAAATATTTTATTTAAGCAGGTGGGGCAATTTACATATTCATTATGGGTCTTAATTTTTCCATCTGTAAAATGGCAATGATAATGATATAGTTAACTAACTAGTTCAGAGAGCTTAATGAGGACTACTAAATAAGATAATGAACATGAAGAAATTATAACACAGGGACTAGCACAGAGGAGGCCCTCAACAGACTGTAGTTGTCTTGATGAAAGAAAACTTAAGTAAATGTTTCAATCTTGACCTTTCCCCAGCATTATCTAAGCACTCTGAGCATCAACTAAGACAATAATGCAGCAGCTCAACTCTGTGATGTGGAGCTTACTTCAAGCTGCCTGATAGAAGACTCTCTCTCATGAATAAGGCGGAGGTCATCCTCTGTGATTTCTTCATCTTGCACTTGCACTGGAGGCTGTGTTTGGCTAATAAAAAGAAAAGAATATATATATGAACTGACATTCAAAATAATGGGGCTTATTTTCTATTTAAGAAACACTAAATAGGATACCTCATTCCTCAAAGTCACAGCATTGCTCATTTTTAAAAGTGTTAAAAAAACAATAGCCATATTAACTCAAATTATACTCATTTTTCATTCTACTCATTATTTTATCTTATATGGTTTTAGATTTATTATTTTATTTTTGAAAGCTGTATTTGGCAACTGGGTTTCTTTTTAGCCAACTTAAACCTCATATAAAAGAAAAATCTATACTAAAAATTACATCAATAAATATTTATTTGGATAATTATTTTACATATTTTATAATAAATGCTTTATAAATACTTATTTGGAAATTTTTTTCAATTTACTGTTTTCAATTTATAAATAATGTAGGGTATTTGTGTTATCATATATTGAAAGCATTCTACTAGGAACTATAATATATAAAATTTTAAAAATTATATTTTGATCTATAAACTGTTTTGTATTTTTTTTTTTACCTTTCCCAGGATACAAGATTCCTTTCTTTTGAGCCATCCTCAGGAAATGTGCCCTGCATAATTTAGTAATAGGTTGGATTAAGAAAGATCAAAGAAATCACAGACAATGAAAAAACGTTTTCCCTTAAAATAATCTAAATTTATTTATGTATTTGGATTTTCTGGGTGTGTGTGTGTGTGTGTGTGTGTGTGTGTGTGTGTAAGGAAGGAGAGAAAGAAAAGTTCTTGTTCTAATTTTCTAGGCCAACTGCTTCAAGTAGTAATGAAAGTTGGTAAGGAAGGAATTCATTAAATATTCTCAAAGGCAAAATAATAAATATTACTTGGTTAAAATTTAATATAATTGTGGAACCTATATTAAAGAATAACAAAACAACTTGTGATGGTTTCAATTAAAATTAGATTTTAAAATTAGACTAACTCAATATTCCACCTTAAATCATATTTTCATTTATTTTCTCCAGGATCATACTGGTTTTCAGTATTTCTACAGTACATTCGTTCTGTTCACCTCAATATTATTTTTAAATAATGCAGGAGTAAAGTGCTACCTACATTAGCATGTACACAGTGGGAAGCTTCAGATCAAGTCACTGTGAAAACACTACCAGGATTCAACTCCTAATCTTTTTTGACAAAATATGTTTCTATAATTTTTATATGATCTGTAATCTGTTGTTCCATGGCATGAACAAAACAACCACAACAATACATAACCCACAATCTTCTTAAAAATAGAGCAGAAAAGTCTGAAAATAAATATTCAAATGTAGATCTCCAAGATATTCACAGATCTTTATGATATATAAAATCATGCTAATGCAGACTTTTATGGGACCCTTTCAGAGTATTTCTACCCGTAAGGAAGAATACTTACGGATACTCTGGAGCTGGCTCTTACTCGAGCCACAAACTCTTTCTCTCTTTCAGCAGCTTGTCTCTGGACTTTCTGAAAGTTTGTTAGTGATGTTGTAAATTCAGCCACTAATCTATCCTTTTGTATTTTCCTTTGACGCTGGAAGAAAGGGAGGAAAATGTGTACTAGAATCAAGCTGTGAAGTTCAACAGATTTTGCAATAGTTGTTTTACCAATGGCTGGCTCTTTACTTCATCATGAAATTTGCACTCTCTGCAATTACAGGGACTTACTGATTAACTCTCAATAACACTTTGACAGTATGTTCAAATAACATTTTGACAGAATATTCAAATCACAGTTCAAAGATCCTACAATGCATTTGACTACTTTCACATTAATACACAAATGTATCTTGATACCTATTTACTGAGGATGGTGGGCAGAGATTCAAACTCCTTAATGGCATTTACTGTAAGGCAAAATGCCCATTCTGTTGGATTTCTCACCTCAGATTTTCACAGCTGCTAAAACCTGGGTCTTTGAGGTTATTTTCAAGTAGTTTGTTTTGGGAAATAAAATCTTTTATTCTTACCTAAGTAATAGCTTAACTTCCATTAAAGGACATAAAAATATGCCCCTAGGCGACCTCACATCTTGAACAAGTGTGGGAGATGCACAGAATCAGTCTGAAGGCCTGGAAGCAATTACTCAGGAAGCACTTTCTGGGCACTTACTTAATTATGGGTCAGGGCTCCTACATTGCAATAATTTTTGCTTTATTAAACCACAAGATACTACCTGAGAAATTAAATACAGTTTTTTGTTCCATGAACTAATCTCTAATAAGTTATTTTTTGTCCCCTCATTTCCTTTCTAGCATCACAGTTCAAAGACCCTACAATCATTTTGACTTCTTTCACGTTCAACACATCAATGATGTGTCTTAAAGCCTGATACCTGTTCACTGGGAGTGGTGGGTAGAGATCCAAACTCTTTAATGTACTTGTCTGTTTCCTTGGCAAGTTGATTAGTATACTGCTGCTTCTGTTGCCTAAAGTGAGAAAGAAAACATGCATTACAGCCAAAGAACCCATATATTTTTTTAAGCTACAATTCTGCCACTTGAATCAATGCAGATGAACAGATTTCGAAAAGATCTCTTTTTACCAAGCATTTAAACTACTTGAAGTAGTTTTATAAACTGGTTCTAAATTTCCTCTATCAAAACAGAATTTTCTGATCCTATATTTTGGTAAACATTTAGCAAAAGTTCTTCATTTACACGTGACAATCAAGCTTGCAAAATAATATCAGTAGCCTTTTAGGAACACAAATGACTCCAGTGGGGAGGGAATTTGACAGAGAGATTGCTGGTTGTCTGGTCCTCTATGTTTGAGGTACTGAAAGTGTAGGAGACTTTACTCTGAGTCCTACACCTGGGAAGTTAGCTGTTGCCTTTGACTTATTTCCCACATCTTACATACACGGTGGTCTTTCCTAATTCTTTATATGGACATTTATATCCTCTAAATACCTTAAAAAAGGAAAAATACGTAATAATAGTATAAATTTACTATTATTTAAACTTGATATGGAAAAAGTAATAGCATTTTCTTGTAAAGGGAATGAAACACAAGAAAAGAAGTAAATTATACTTGTGTTTGTATCTTCCTAGCTAGCTTATAAGGTACAATTTTTAACTTAAGAACTTTGACACTGAAAAAAATAAGCTGTATTAAGCTGATGCTTTATAAACATTAGTGCTCTCATATATATTGCCATGTATTTTAAACATGGACTGGCCACACTAAAGAGAGACTGAGAATATGTCTAAGTATAGATATCTGTATGGGATCAACAAGAATTATAACCTATTTATATCTCTACCATATTTTGAATCTTGGGAATGGTATTATTGTCAAAGTTCCAAAAGGACACAATAATAATCATATCTATATACTCAGAATTTCAACAATTAACTCTTATCTTAATACTATAACTGTTAAGCATTGTGCAATTCCATTCTACTTTACTTTAATATGCAACTATTAGATTTGGAGCATTTTTACCATGCTGACAGCTATCCATTACAGAAAAATAAAATATAAATTATAGACAAGAGTAAATTTTTCAAGTTGCACTTCTTAAAAAATATTAATTGCTATTACCTACCTTTGACTTTCTCCTTCTTTGTAATTTTCCTTCCGTGGATACTGTTAGTTGGAGCTATCATTTATTACATATATGCTACATGAAATCTGTAGCAATAACAACATTGAGGACTTAGAGTCAGGTTCTGAATAATGTTGGGCAATTCATCAAATTCCCAAAAGCAAACTAGAAATAGTTCTTTTAATCTATCTCATTCTAATTTTGTACAGTTCAGATTAGATGATATGTATAAACACTGTAAACTCTATAATATGTCACAGACAAATATTATTATTGTCCATAGAGCATATTAATTTACTGGAACATGTATTACGCAACTTAATTATAACTTTCATTTAATAGATGCTAACACTCTGAAATTCAGGGATATAGGTATAAACTTTTGGGGAGACAGTTCAAATAACTGGATATGTACCAGAACCAAGTAAAAATCTCGTCACTGCATGGACTGTTGACTGTGGGAAATAATCACATCAATTGAGGAGCTTAGAGGGTAATTTTTCAAAAGTTATGAAACCAACCTATTTTTAAAATGTAAGAAAAACTAACTAAAGAAATTTTGATTTGATAGAATAAGCCAGATCTCTAAAATAAAAACATATGCCTTTCTGGACAGGGAAAAAGAATACATGATAGCTTGGTCTGGGTAAGGCTGCAAAGACACCTTTTTAGTTTTCTATTTTTTTTCCAGTAAACACATTCTATAGAGCCATATAACAATAGAAATAGGTTTACTTTTCATTTCTTTTCTTGTTTAATTAAATACTTACAGCTGTTGTCTCAATTCAGGTGAATCTTGAGGTGTTCCAAGTTGATTTAGGCTCCTCTGTATTTCCACAGCTATTATAATGAAAAATAAAAGTGTAATTTTTACAAATTATTTATTTATAATTATTTACAAATGTTAGGGCTACAGAAATAATCAAGTTAGAAGCAATTAGGTAATCTGGCAGTTTAAAAAGAAAAGGAAAAAGATAATGATACACAACACTGAGAAGAGAAGGAAAAAATCAGTGGTTTATTCAAATCTAATTAGTAACAAAAATGGATTAATTTTGAAAGAAAATTGAGTGGGAATGTAAAAATGTGCAACTGCATTTATTATCAAAAAATAATATTTCCCTACTCTATCAGGACAGCAAATAAATAAAATACTACATAGATTTTAACTTAACTTTACTGGCATAGACTTGTGAGGGTTAAAACTCATGAAGCAAGTAACTATGACAACTGGGATGTGGGGAAAAGGGTACACTTGTACATTGCTGGTGGGACTGCAAATTGGTGCAGCCAATTTGGAAAGCAGTATGGAGATTTCTTGGAAAGCTGGGAATGGAGCCACCATTTGACCCAGCTATTCCCCTTCTCGGTCTATTCCCTAAAGACCTAAAAAGAGCATGCTACAGGGACACTGCTACATCGATGTTCATAGCAGCACAATTCACAATAGCAAGACTGTGGAACCAACCTAGATGCCCTTCAATAGATGAATGGATAAAAAAAAAAAATGTGGCATTTATACACAATGGAGTATTACTCTGCATTAAAAAATGACAAAATCATAGAATTTGCAGGGAAATGGATGGCATTAGAGCAGATTATGCTAAGTGAAGCTAGCCAATCCCTAAAAAACAAATGCCAAATGTCTTCTTTGATATAAGGAGAGTAACTAAGAACAGAGTAGGGTCGAAGAGCATGAGAAGAAGATTAATATTAAACAGGGATGAGAGGTGGGAGGGAAAGGGAGAGAGAAGGGAAATTGCATGGAAATGGAAGGAGACCCTCAGAGTTATACAAAAGTACATACAAGAGGAAGTGAGGGGAAAGGGAAAAATAATACAAGGGGGACAAATGAATGTCAGTAGAGGGGGCAGAGAGAGAAGAGGGGAGGGGAGGGGAGGGGAGGGGGGGTAGTAGAGGATAGGAAAGGCAGCAGAACACAACAGACACTAGTATGGCAATATGTAAATCAATGGATGTGTAACTGATGTAATTCTGCAATCTGTATATGGGGTAAAAATGGGAGCTCATAACCCACTTGAATCAAAGTGTGAAATATGATATATCAAGAACTATGTAATGTTTTGAACAGCCAACAATAAAAAATTAAAAAAAAAAGAAATGTTAAAATGAAAAAATATATATATATAATATAAAGTGAATGGATTATAGTTTGTAAATGAGGAAGGAATGACAAAATTAGAAAAAAAAATCACTTTTCAATTATTACATATTAACTGATTCAGGCAAGGATCATTAAAGGACACTAAGATCAGAAGATATTCATTCAACTTCAAATTATCAAAGACACAGATGACATTTAAAAGATAACCTCATCATAGATAAATCTGTTGTTTAAAACATGATCAAATTTAGCACCAAGAACAGGATGCACAGACATGGTCAACCTCCTGGCCTGACGCAGGAGAGAAGTCACAATATGACTTCAGTATTTTGCTTGCCAAAAGTTTTATCCTGAATCTAATAATGAAGAAGAGATCAGATCAATCTAGACTGTGGAATAATGTACAAGAAAACTGGCTGGACTTTCAAAAATGTCAATATCGCAAAAGAAGAAGAAAAAGACAAAGAAGGCAGTGAAGTGTTTTATTTTTACTGTGTTGCTGGCAATTGAACCCAGGGTCTCACACAGGCTAAGCAGGTGCTCTGTCATTGAGCTACATCCCCATTTCCAGAGGAGCTTTTTAAAATTAAAGAACTAAAAGACTGAAACACCTAAAAGGAACTATATTTTTTTTTTTACTGGATTCTAAATTTTTTTTAAAAAGCATTAAAAAACAGTGTAGAAACTGGAAAAATCTGGATATATATAGAGAGATATATTAAACAAAAGTTGAAAAATGTCAACAATTTTTGTTGAACCCAGGTGAACGGTTCATTGTACTATAATTTTCCCTTTCTCTAGGTTTAGATTATGTACATAATTTAAGACGAAAAATTAGGAGATTCATATTTTTGTTAGGCCCATACTTCATAAGCTTATGATCACTGCAATTAAAAAAAGGTTCTTTACAAATTCATATTTTTATGAATATTATACATAAAAAATGCCAAGAAGAAATAAGTTGAAAATTCATCTTAAATAACTTTCTCATTTCCAAGAACTAGAGAAGAACAATCCAAACCACCCTCTGTTTTTATTTAAAATGAATTTATTTATAAAGCCTAATGCTTTAAACAGTCATTATTTATTTATAGCATCAAGGCAATGATAAACTATTCCAAAATGCAGGATAACTTTTGTTCACTGAGTATGAGACAATAAACACTGCTTTCAAGTTAAAGTGGAAAATATAAATAATTAAGAGGAACTGTATATAGCTACAGTTATTCAACATTCTGCTAGACTCAGAGGAATTTCTTCTTGCTTTTGGGGGGATCAAGTTTGTTTTTGTGGGATGAGAAATTTTGTTTGTTGTGTTTAATGTGTGGCTGCTTATAATCAGTTACATATTTCCCTCTCAACCTTAACAGATTTTCCTGGGATGCCTTATGGGACTTACAGCTTTTATTTAAAAAACAAAAAGATGTTGATAATACAAAGTGTGACATGGCTCTCTATACAACAGAGGCATATTTATCTCCATTCTAGAGGGTTTTTCTTCTATAAGAAAGTCACATTATGTAACCCTATTTCACATCATCTAGCAAAATAAATTTATAATGAATTATGAATTTAAATATTAAAAACTGAAAATAAATTACTACATGTAAATATAAATATGTACTTCTCATGTGATCTGATGTATGATCTTGGACTTGGGAATACAATATTAACTGAACAAGATATAAAATAAAAACTATCAAGGTTCTGAAAAATTTGACCACATAAAATTTTAAAATGTTATGTGAAAAATATGCACATATATTACAAATATATATATATATATATATATATATATATATATATATATTGTATAACCTGTGTGTGTATACATGGGAGAAAAATAACTGTAGACTGTGATGAAAATATAATGCAGAAAAAAATCCTACAACTGGTAATAGAAAAACAACTCCATTATAAAATGGACAAAAGTTATAATCTTATAGTTTATAAAAGGCAAAAAATATAAATTCCACTGATAATCAACTTTTCACCTACCAGATTGGTAAAAAATTAGGAAAAGAAATGAGTATGGCTGTTACTACAAAATCAAAAGCCTTAAAAACAAAAGTTAGAGACTAACAATCTAGTAGAAACCGACCAACCAAAGGAATTTCCATATTTATGAATAAATTCAATAGCAAAAATAGATTAAAAAAATATCAATCTTGGAAAGAAAAAGATAACTGGAAAGACAAAAATAACTATAATGTATGGTATACAATTATTCAGGCTTTAAGAAGTAAGGAGAAAGAACTGCTTCTGGTAGGCGCAGTGGGAGCCTAAATCCATTACAAGGTAACTTCCCCAGTTTCTCAACAGATACTCACCTGTCCCCAGTTCTCCCCCATACTCCCTGAGAAACAGGTCTTATAGGAAGCAAGAGACCACTGGGGTCCTTAGGGATTCCTCACTGTTATGATTTGGATTTGAAATGTCTTCAAAAGTTCATGTGGGCCTTTGGGAGGTCATTAGATCAGGAGGGCTCTGACCTCCTCAATGGATTAATCCACTACGGATTTATAAATAACCTTAGGGGCTATTGCGAGATGGCAGAAACCTCAGAAGGTGGGGCCTCATGGAAGGAAGGAGAACATGCCTTCAAAGGATACATTCTGTTCCCTGCTCTCTTCCTCCAACCCCTCTACTTGCTGACCACCATGAGGTGAGCAGCTCTTCTCTTCCGTGTTCTTCTGCCATGTTGTACCACCCCACCTCACCATAGGCTTAAAACCAACTGGGCTAGGCAACCATGGACTGAAAGCTCTAAAACTGTGAACCCAACTAAGTGTTTTCTCCTTTGAAGTCCTTTAATTTCAGGTATTTTGTCACAGTGATGCAAAGCTAATACACTCACTTGGACAAAAGAGTACATTAAGAGCAATACCTAATCCTAGGCAATTGCTCAGAAATGCCACTGCGAAGGAGCAAGGAGTGGTGATGTCTGCAGTTCCCATCTAAGTGGACTGTCTGGAGGATGCAGATGGCTAACAGCTAAAGCTAATTCAGATGGTGACTCCGAGTGCAAAATGTGATCTGTTTACTGGTGATTAGGGTGCCTGCCATTCTTGAGGGGCAAGATGATTATGTCCCTTCCACTTTAGAGGAGGCAGAATTTTTTACTCACTGAAATAGTGCTACTCTTTTTTTAAAAAAATAACTTTATTTTATTTAGTTATTATTATTATTTTTATGACGTGTTAAGGATCGAATTCTCACACATGCGGGCAAGTACTCTACCACTGAGCCACAACCCAGACCTTCTTTGGGTTTTTGTAATGCTTATTCTACCCTTCCCCCACACTTCTACCATTCCTAATTCCACGAATTAATCCCAATAATGACGTCCCATACATGAGTGCTTCAGATCAAGAAATTACAGAGAAAAAAAATAATGGATGTTTTAAGGACAAAGGGATTCACTGATCTCCATTATCTAGAAGTTGCTGGACTTCTAGAAGTGTTTGATAGTCCATGAAGACTCAATTATAATGCCTCCCAGGGGACAAAAATCTTGTGAAGCTAATGTGCTACACTACAGGATCTTTATATTCTCAAAGAACCATTCTAAGGTGCGACTTCACAAATAACCATAAAAAAGCTTAGACTTGAGAACTAAAGGGTGACAGTAGAGCAAAATGCTTCACAATTCCACCTAATTACCCATTTGTAATTTTCTTCCATACTTCAAGGTGACTTGGAGACAACACTCATG